AAAGTCTTGTGGATCCAGTGGCGGTGGAAGCATCTCCAGGGCTCCTGCAGGTCTCAGCGTGGCTCCACGTGGCTTGTCAACAGGAAGGCACGAGCAGAGAGAGAGTGTGTGGGCTGCCTCCAGGGAGAAACAGAAAAGGAGGCCAGCCTCAGAAAGCCATTTATCTTGGTCACCCTCCAATCAAGCTGCCACCTGACTGACAGGCCCAACTCCTCCCACGTATTCCTACAGGACACATGTTGCCACAAAAAGCCACTAACTATCACCGCTGTTATGTGTGTTCAAGCACAAATATGTTGGGATCACATTTTTCTTGCTGAGTCATATGACTATGTTTGACTTCATAAGAAAATGCAAATCCCCCCCACCCAATCATTCTAGTGGGTCTACAGTGGTTGTGCAAGGTTCTCTGGAGAAACAAAAGTAGTGGCGCTTTTGTGTGTTTGCGCCTAGGAAGAGATTTACATTGAGAAATGGCTTCCACGGTTGTAGAAAGTAGTAAGTCCAGCCTGGCTCAAGTCAGGCTTCTCCTGCCTCACGTAGCTGTGGGACCTGATGACCAGGAAGAAGGATGACAAAGCTGGAGCTGGGGGACAGGCTGGTGGATGCAGAGGTAAATGAATCCAAGGTTGGCCAATGAATCCACAATAGGAAGTTCGCTGACAGTGCCTGGGATCGGCAGGTGACGCAACAGGAAACTGAGGGACCAGACGCAGGATCCCACTCCAGCAGAAGCCCTGTTTTTCTCCCTTGGAGCATCTCACAGTTTCAAACTGCTGACCTTGCAGTTAGTAGCCCAACGTGTAACACATGTGCCCCCAGGCCTCCTCCTTTTAACATTAACAGAGTATCAAATGCCTGATGTCATAGTACACGTTTGTAAGATTCCTTCTAATTCAGTCTCTGACTGTGCTTGCATTTTGCTAGTTTTTCTCCGCGTGGGCTTTTTCTGTCTCAGGAGCCAATCCACAAGCCCACGTGGAACGAGTTGTTAGGTCTCTCCTGTCTCCTCTGGTCTGCGGCTGTTTCTCGGTCTTTCCTTGTTGGCCACGACCTCGGAAGGTTTGGAGAGTCTGTAGGATCTTCCCCGGTCTGAATTTGCCTGATGTCTTCCCTGGGATCATGGTGGGGTGTGGACTTTTGGAAAGAAGATAGGAGTACATGCCATCCACGTGGTTTCTCCATTGCAAAGCTGCTGTTTGATCGCCTCCTGACCCTATTTTTCAGAAGCAAGTCGCTAAACCTAGCCCATCTTTACAAGGAAGAGAGGATCATTGAAGTTCATTTTCTTCTGCACAGCAGTCTACCTGTTCCTGCAGTATTTGTTGAAATGATACTTGACATGACACCTTTGTCAAAAGTCAATCAGCGATATTTGTGTGAGTCCCTTATGGACATCCTGTCCTGTTCCATCAGTAGGAATTTTTCCAAGAACTTTGTGGAAGCCTCCTCGAATACATTCCTGTCCTTGGGCCAACACCACACTCTCCATTACTGTGGCTTTTGTTTAAGTTTTAAAATCAGAGAGTTTTGATTTCTTTCTTCTTTGTAAAAACTGCTTTTGCTTACTCCAGTTCACTTTGATTTCTAAGTATATTTTAGGTTCAACCTGTCAATTGTTATAGTTTTGATTGAAATTGAAAGAAAAAATAGACTGTCTTGTGAAAAATGTATAACTTCCTTTCTGTGATAGTGTCTTTTGATTCTTGAACTTGATATATCTCTCAGTTTACTTAGCTTTCCTTTAACGTCTACCCTTATGAAGACCTTGGGTATATGTAGATAGACATATCACGAAGGATAGTATTTCAGACTTTATGGAATCCGGGTGGTGATGGATAAATGCTTCTCTCCTACCTGGAAGGTCAGCATTTCAAAGCCAACTGCCAAGGGAGAAAGATGTGGCGGCTCTGCAGTCTGTTGTTTTACCATTCTTTGGAATGGGCCCCTTTCATCCCTGCCATTCAGTTGGCCACTCGGCTGTCTTCTGAAGGTTTTAGCATAGACCAGTGGTGCTTACAGAGATCTATAAGTTTGGCTGAAACATTTCAATTCATATTTCACAAAATTCTGGAGCCTTATTTTTTGCCTAATACATTCAGTACAATTGGACCTCTTCCTTCACCAGTATCATTGGTTCTTGGTTATATGCTGCTTCTTGAGATGGCTGAATATCAAGTTCTTTTTGGTACAGTGATTCTGTGTAGTTCCCTATGGTAGTTACATAAGCTGGTGTTAATTTGAGGATTCATCGTGAAACGGTGGAGTCTAGCCTGTCAATCAGATCACAGCTTGAACTCATTTGGAGGCACTAAGGAGATCAACAGCTCATTGGAGGCAGGATACATGCTCATTCCCTGCGAGGCAGCCCTGTGGAGAAGACACATGGAGAGAGACTGGTGGCAGCCAGACCTCTGAAGCTGGGGAAGCCACATGGAGACCCCTGCCAGCACTGAGATACTTACAGTGCCACTGGATCCACAAGACTTCCCACCCACTGACCTGT